CAGCAGAAAGACATCAGTTGGTAATGTACCCACCAACCTCACTGAATGTTCCAGTTATGGAAAATGTCTTTTGTGGAAGGAATTGGATGTGAAAGACTTCAGCTCACCTGTTCTTTCCCTTCCAAGCCCCTCTTCACTTGTTCTTCAATGAACCGGGCTGTTTTCTCTTCGTCGTCAAGATCTTGTTTTTTCTTTTTTTCTTGCTCCTGCTGCCTACGGATCGTCTCAGGGTCTCTGTCGATGTACTGGATGTACCAGCCTTTGGGCGTTTCATCCACTTTACAGAAGCCTTAAAAACAGTCAACAACAATCAGGGATGATGCCAAACAACATCTAGAACAACACATGTTCCTTACTTCAGTGTTATAAACACAGTAATCTGCCCTTTACTGAATACAACAGTAGGCCCTTATGGTCTATTTCAAGAGCAAAGAATGCCTTTCAGTAAAATGGCCTCATTTCGTCTCTAAGTTTTGGAATGAGAGAGGTACTGAACCTCATCATTCAAAAGGATGCAAAAGTTTATTCAGCTACTCGCTGAATTCTGAAATCTCAACTGGCATTTACCATGCTTGCAAACATACTTCCACCTTCATTAAGGCTAATAACTTTTTCTGTTAGTCACCTCCAGATTGGACTACTGTAATGCACTCTACGTGGGGCTACCCTTGAAAACGGCCAGAAATTTCAGTTGGTTCAACGAGCGGCGGCCAGGTTGTCAACGGGTGCTCCTTACAGGGAGAAGTCAGCCCTCCTGTTTAAGGAGCTCCATTGGCTGCTGTTCATTTTCCAGGCCCAATTCAAGGTGCAGGTGCTTACCTACAAAGCCCTAAACGGTTTGGGACCCACCTACCTGCGTGACCCGCATCTCCGTATACGAACCCACACGATCTCTTCGTTCATCTGGAGAGGCCCTGCTCACGATCCCACCTGCTTCGCAAGCGCGATTGGTGGGAACGAGGGACAGGGCCTTCTCGGTGGTGGCCCCATGACTCTGGAACTCCCTCCCAACACTGGCAGGCAGGCCCCAACATTGGCAGTCTTTAGAAGGAGCTTGAAAACATGGATGTTCCAGTGTGCCTTCCCAGATTAAGGAATCCCAAGCAATATGTCCCAAATGCACTTTACGAGAGAGTTAGAAGTGTCTGCACACCCACTTACCCCCCAAAATATCCATCCTTTTTCACCTGGTCATGCCCAGCATTTTTTTTTTAATCTTTACATTTGGCCCTGCCATGTTTTTAAATCGCATCATGATATTTTGTTATTGTTTTTGCTTTGTATGAGTTATTTATTGCTATATTGTATTGTTGTGGTTATGTTTTTTGTTTTGTTGTATTTTGGGCTTGGCCTCTTGTAAGCCTGACCGAGTCCTGCGGGAGATGGTAGCAGGGTATAAATAAAGGTTTATTATTATTATTATTATTATTATTATTATTAAATGGGGAAGTGCATCTTCATAAAGGAATATCATCTTTTAGGAAGATGCAATTTGTACTCAACATATACACGATCTAGTTCTTTGGGTCAGATGAGTCTGGCAGTCACTGAATGGGCAATGAAAATAATTTCCATCACTGAATATATTTGTTTCAGCCATTTCATTGCTAGGATTCCTCAAAGCCATGCATGTTTGTTTCCGCTTTGGATGTCATCCATTCAAACACATATAATCCACACACTATCCAACAGAATTACCTTCTCTTCCAAGCCACTTGGTAAAATCTGTCAGCGTTTCCCACTGGGTGGCATTCATATGGATATGTTCCCGGTGACTAATGTATTCATTATATACAATATTATTGTGAACTCTCTTCGTCCCTAGAATTTTCAAAGAAGCCCATAGTTTAGAAATCTGACATTGGATAGAAAACACAAAGTATATAATAAGAAACATCATTTGATTACACATGATTTACCAAATCGTCTTCTGAGAAGCTCTAAGAAATCATTTCGGAATTCCCTAGGAGAATATAAAAGAGGCAATTAACAACTTCTGATTCACACAGACCTCTTCATAAGAAAAATGCCTAGTCCAATGCATTGCAAAGGCATCATGGTAGTTCTGTCTTTTGGTCATATTGGGATTTTGGCAGTCATGTGCAAGATGTCTGCAATACGATACATTTATTACATATCTAAGATGCACCTCTACTCAAATGATTGTTTTCACCGAAACATCATAGGACTGACTTGAACAGTTATTTATTATTGTTTATTTCAACACATTCCATGCAGGCAAATGAGGATGTCTGCCCAAATAGATATTCAACAAGCATCTAGAACATTATGTGGGCACAAACTGCTGTAGGAAAAACTTGGTATGTGCAATCATACTACCTATATTGTGACAAAAGGCTACTTCCAGTTACAATTTACTAATAAATAATTTTGACATGAAAGCAGCAGAAAAATCAATGCCAAGGTCTTGGATGAACTCACTGTGAAAAATAATCCATGAATTGCTGTGGATTTTCAGAAGCAAGCAGCAACTGTCGCTGGTGAGATTCTGACATGCAGTGGCATTTAAAGCCATTCTAAAAAAAAAAGGGGGGAAATCATAATCAGAAAGGCTCAGAGGAACAAAGCCCAAAATATTTTAAGCCTCCCAGGACAAAAATGTAGCAGAGACACAAATTTATGTTTTGCATAAATGTCTACACATAGAAAACATGATAATCCCAGATGCTTCCTGTCATGCATCTCTCCTGAACTGTAACCATGTCCAGATCCATGCTGAACCCATTGAATAGCTACTCTCTAACCCCATCTTCATTTATTTACCACGTTTGTACCCCATCCTTCTCATCTTAAAGGGGACTCAGAGTGGCCTTACTAAAGGCAACAATTTGATGGCACGCAAATACATACCAATAAAATAAACAAAATCCAAGCTATTAAAACATGAAACATTAAAATCATGCAATCTTCATGTCAGCTATCCTTAGTGGTTTCCAGAGGAGCATTTGCACAGCTTCGGCTCGTGCGCCAGCTGTGCCCGTATCTTGGGAAGTCGGACTTGGCCACGGTAGTCCACGCTCTTGTCACATCCCGTATAGATTACTGCAACGCGCTCTACGTGGGGTTGCCCTTGAAGACTGCCCGGAAGCTCCAGATGGTCCAGCGCTCGGCAGCCAGGTTGCTAACGGGAGCGGCACTCAGGGAGCACACCACTCCTCTGTTGAGCCAGCTCCACTGGCTGCCAATTTGCTACCGGGCACAATTCAAGGTGCTGGCATTGGCCTATAAAGCCCTAAACGGTTCCGGCCCAAAATACCTAACTGACCGCCTCTCGGCCTATGAGCCCACGAGGACTTTGAGATCTTCCGGGGAGGCCCTGCTCTCGATCCCGCCTGCTCACAGGCACGGCTGGTGGGGACGAGAGATAGGGCCTTCTCGGTGGTGGCTCCTCGGCTGTGGAACACCCTTCCCGTGGACATCAGGCTAGCCCCCTCCCTGCTAATATTCCGCAGGAAGTTAAAGACCTGGCTATTTAAGAAGGCATTTGATCAAGAAGTGCAATGACTGGCAATTGACCATAGGAATGGAACAACGGAAATGATATCGGATTGTGGCTTGACGATGAGACGATTCGGAATGTAGTAGTAATTTTGTAGTAATGTTGTTGTTTTGATAAGATGTTTTTTATGATTATGATGAATTGCAGACTGTTTTGCACTATGCTTTGTAGATTGCACTTGTTTTTTCATGTTGTACACCGCAATGAGTCGCCCTTGGGCTGAGAATTGCGGTATATAAGCGCAGTAAATAAAGTCAGGGAATGATAAATTGCGGTATATAAGCACAGTAAACAAACAAACAAATAAATAAATAAATACAGGGTGTGGCAGCATAACTTCCTTTTTTAAAATGCACACCACGTTGGTTGAAGACGAAGCGGAGCGCTAGTGGTCTCGTTCGAGAGGTGGGAGTATAAAGTTTTGTCCTGACAAAGTTCAGTCGCCATCATGCATTGGTACAGTGAGGAGCATGCTTTTACCGTTGAGGCCTACTTTTCGAGCGGATGTTCTGTGATCGCAACTCAGCGCGCCTTTCAGAATTGCTTTAATTTAGCCCCATTGGTCCCTGTCCTAGACCGGAAATCAATTGTGACATGGGTCACTACATTCAGACAAACTAAAAGTGTGACAAGACAACGAACTGGAGTCCCTCAGCCCATTAGATCACCAGAGAACACTGAGGCAGTGAGAGCTTCAATGTTGGTATGCTGCCTTTAGCATCCATACCAAATCGCTACGTAAAAACACATACTCTGTAATTTTACTTAAGCCATCCTGGTTATGAGGCATCACAACGTTGTCCTGCAGTAAATTCCCAAATTAAATTATATGTTGTGAGAAGGAAGTCTTTCCTTTTGCTTGTCTCAAATATAATCCCTGATTTTTCCCTTCCTTCCTTCCTTCCTTCCTTCCTTCCTTCCTTCCTTCCTTCCTTCCTTCCTTTGTATAGGTTGGGGGAAAGTGAAAATAGTCCCAACAAGTACACTCTCCTCCTTGTAAATTTATTTATTTATTTACTGCATTTGTTGACCGCCGTTCTCAGCCCTAGGGCGACTCACGGCGGTTTACAACATATAAAAACAGTTTACAACAAGGGCATATCAAAACATCAATATAAACATAACAATCAACAATACAAATTACACTAAATCATCCGCGCCGTCTCATCTTAGAATCATAAACCAATCTCGTAATCCATATTCCGTTCCAATCATCATTGCCAATTGTTGTAGCACTTAGTCAAACGCCTTCTCAAATAACCATGTCTTTAGGCTCTTGCGGAATGTCATAAGGGAGGGCGCCTGTCTGATGTCTACAGGGAGTGTTCCACAGCCGGGGGGCCACCACCGAGAAGGCCCTATCCCTCGTCCCCGCCAGCGTGCCTGTGAGGCAGGCGGGATCGAGAGAAGGGCCTCCCCAGATGATCTCAAGGTCCTCGTGGGCTCATAGGCCGAGATGCGGTCAGAAAGGTATTTTGGGCCGGAACCGTTTAGGGCTTTGTAGGCCAACACCAGCACCTTGAATTGGGCCCGGTAGCAGATCGGCAGCCAGTGGAGCTGGAACAACAAGGGCGTTGTGTGCTCCCTGCGTCCCGCTCCTGTTAGTAACATGGCTGCCGCGCGCTGGACTAGCTGAAGCTTCCGGGCCGTCTTCAAGGGCAGCCCCACGTAGAGTTATGTTATGTTAGTCAAGGCGGGATGTGAGTTTATTTTATGAAGCCCCAGCGTTAGAGAGCGTTGCCGTATCAAGGCGAGTATGTGACCATGAGCGTGTACTACGCTGCTGGCCTTACAGTCATACGTCCCTAGGTATACGACTGCGGGGATTTAGCTGGCGCACTGAGGCCACTGATGCTGTGGCAAAATGCTTCCCGGGGGCTAGTCACCCGCTGAAACCTGGGGGTTCCTTAGGCTCTAGAGGTATAGGAATGCGCAGGATGCAGCACCGCAATCTGGCTAACCTGGGCGGCCTTCAAGGAGGAGTTGGCGAGCGCGGAAAAGGGGGGGGGCACACCACACCACACAGGGCGAGGCTGTAACCCCTATACGGCCCTGTTCGGGTGTCGGGATGAAGCGTCTGCGATTGTGTTCCGAGCTGACCAGAGGTACCTCTGTGACAAAGAAATCTTGTCTGGATTTAATTGGCATTTGTTCGCCCATCATCCATGATCCATATACGAGCGGCGGTATCACACCCCAAAAAAACAAACCAAAAAAAAAACTCGCAGGCACCCGGTTGCAGTGTTAGGACCAGTCGACAGCCTCTTAGTTAATCAGAGTGGCGAAGGTGTGACAGAGTTGGCGCCTCATCTGGCGTGACATAGATAGCACCGTACATCCGACACTCGCGGATGATCTCACGCCAGCGGGCTTCATGTAATGTTTTATAAACAGCTTGGGGGGGACATATAGAGCTTGCGCTGGAACGCGCCCACAAGTCAAAGGCTGTGGTGTTGAACAGGTGTCCCCCAATAACACCTTCTGGGTGCGACCCTCCAGAAATGACCGGAGCCACTGCAGAACAGTGCCCCCGAGACCCATTTCCGCAAGGCGCCCCAGAAGGATACCGTGGTCGACGGTATCGAAGGCCGCTGAGAGGTCCAGGAGCACCAACAGGGACACACTCCCCCTGTCTAGCTCCCGGCGCAGATCATCCACTAAGGCGACCAAGACCGTCTCGGTTCCATGCTCCCGGTCTGAAACCAGACTGTGCCGAATCCAGATAATCCGTGTCTCTCAAGAATACCTGGAGTTGTGAGGCCACCACGCTTTCCATGACTTTGCCCAAAAAGGGGAGATTGGAAACAGGCCGAAAGTTGTCAAATTTAGTGGGGTCTAATGATGGTTTCTTCAACAGTGGTTTTATAATAGCTTGTTTTAAGCTCGCTGGAATCTTGCCTTCCCGAAGGGAGGCATTAACCACCACCGTTACCCACTCAGGCCAATCCCCCTCTGGCCTCCTTCAGAAGCCAGGATGGGCAGGGGTCTAGGATGGACGTGGTAGGCCTCATTCCTCCAAGTATCTTGTCCACATCCTCGGGCTTCACAAATTGAAAAGAATCCATCAAAATAGGACAAGCAGGTGCTCGTGTCACATCCTCAGAGACTGCATTTAACATGGTGTCCAGACCAGAACGGATCAAAGCGACTTTGTCTGCAAAGAACCGAGCAAATGCTTCGCAGCGCGTGGCCGAATTGTCAGGGCTCCCGCCTGAGGTGGTGGGAGTTAAAAGACCTCTGACAATCCGGAACAACTCCGCCGGACGGTTCCTTGCAGACGCAATAGTGGCCGCAAAGAAAGTTTAACTATTTCAGATGAGAAAGTTAACTATCACATTGAAATAGCATGATCAATGGTGAGCATGCCTTTCAAGATTTCACAGGTGAAAACTGAAACACATGGGGCCAAGCAATGTCTTATTAATCATGAAGAACATACAGATTGCAGCAGGGACAGGGAGGAGCAAGATTTTGATTTTTCCTGTTCTCCCTTCTCTGCTGAATTAACCTAGGGTAAACTACTTGTATTATTGTTGCCTTCCCCTATGTATACAGGCAGTCTCTAAGTTATGAATACCGTAGGGTACTGTACTGGGTACTGTTCTGTTATCCTTATATCTGGCCTGGGCAAACTTCGGCCCTCCAGATGTTTTGGACTCCAATTCCCACAATTGTGGAGGTTGGAGTCCAAAACACCTGGAGGGAAGGCCCAAGTTTGCCAAGGCCTGACTTATATTTTGTTGGTTTTAAATTGTATCCATCTCTTCTTGACGCATTTCAAACTGGCTTCAGAGCAGGATATGGAGTTGCTTTTAAACAGGCTGGATGGCCATCTGTCGGGGGTGCTTTGAATGCAATTTTCCTGCTTCTTGGCAGGGGGTTGGACTGGATGGCCCACGAGGTCTCTTCTAGCTCTATGATTCTATGACCTGTTTCCTCTGGCCAGCCTATCCAGACAGGATTAATGACAAATTTTAAACATCAATTATATGTCTCATTTTCGTTTTGTGTATTTTAATGTGTATTGTATGGAGATATGTTTTAATATGTGTAATTTACTGAGTGTTTTTATTTATTTACCACACTTTTATCCAGCCCTTTTCAGGTGACTTAAGGCGGCGTACAGACTTGCAACAATTTGATGCCAAGTACACATAAATACATTGTTTAAAACAGGCTAAATCACATAATATCATTCATATAAAAGCAATTTAAAATGGGGTTCCAACTCCAGCCTAGGGAGGCTGTTGGGAGTTGTAGTCCTACTTGGAGCTGGTGTGCTTGGTGACGGCCTTGGTGCCCTCGGAGACGGCGTGCTGAAGCAAGAGGCGGACGGCGGTCTGGATGTCGCGAGAAGTGATGGTGGAGCGCTTGTTGTAGTGACTTCTGGGTTTAAATCCATGTCCATTTGAATAGTTAAGCCATTCCATATTCGTTACTGAGTTTATCTGGTTACAATGAGGTTCCAAAAGCTTGCTCAAAGAGCCAGGTTTTACTCTTTTCCTAAAGGTCAGGAGGGGGCCGATCTAATATCCCCAGGAAGGGAGTTACACAGCCAAGGGGCCACCACTGAGAAGGCCCTGACCCACATCCCCGCCAAGCATGCAGGTGATCATAAATTCTTGGAAGGTTCGTAAGGGGAGACACATTCGGATAGGTAAGTTGGGCCGGAACAGTTTTTAAATGATTATGTGTCTTGATTCTGTATTGTAACCCATCTCAAGCCGCGGGGAGAGGCAAGTAAGAAACCATCAGAGCCAACTAATCCCAACAAAGGATTCCCCCAGGCAGGAAGCAGCCAAGCCTTGAAGCTGCAAGGCTATTCAATGCTATTCAAGATGATCAATTGCAACATTCACACTTGCCTCAAGCAGGCAAGAGTTCTTTTTCCCACCTTGGACATCATTCCACAAATATATAAATCTCCCTTGCCTTGTTTCCAACAGATCCCTCAACCCCCCGAGGACGCCTGCTATAGATGTGGGTGAAACGTCAGGAGAGAATGCTTCTGGAACATTATGATCTCTCGCTCACCTCGTCGCGGCACTGCTTCTGGCACATCTGGCAATACCAGCGCAGCTTCTGCAGGCCCTTCGACTTGATGCGGTTGGCGATGGCCTTCGGGCTCAAGAAGTCCGTCTTCCCCATCTTGAGAGAGAAAATAGTCTCGATACAGGCCTCCAAAGAGCTTACTTCCGGGTTTGGACCGGAACCGGAAGTGTCGTTATAGCCGGAAGCTGTCACTGGTCTTCTTCCTCTCTCCCGAGAGTGAATGAGCCGGGCTTCGCTGGAGGTGAAGCTGCCGCGCATGCGCAGTGAGGAGGCTCTGACCTTCAGCAGCCAGGGCCGGGCGGGCAGCTCGTGAAGAAGGCCGCAAAGAAGGAGGGAAGGAAGAAGGGCAAAGATCCCGCCGCCTTCGGAGCCATGATGCTGTCCCGAGGAGCCGCCCTCGTCGGCGGATGTGCCGCGGCCTTGACTCAGCCACAATGGTACTCATTCTGGGCAAGGGGAGGGGGGGCATCTATAAAGCAGAATTTGGCCCTTCCAGGTGTTTTGGACTCCAACTCCCACAATTCCTAACAGCCTAAGGCCCCTTCCTTTTGCCCCTCAGCCGCTTAGCGGCAAAAGGAAGGGAGTAAAGAGCCTGAGGCTGTTAGGAATGGTGGGAGTTGGAGTCCAAAAAACCTGGAAGGGCCCAATTTGGCCCAGGCCTGTGTTAGTTGGTTAACTGAACACTATGCAACCTAGAAATCATAGAATAATTGGAGTCCATGTAGGAAAAGCACAATCAAAGCACCCCCGAGAGATGGCCATCCCACCTCTGTTTGATAGCTTCCAAGGAAGGAGCTTCCACCAGACTCCAAGGCAGAGAGTTCCACTGTTGAACATCTCTTACAGTTCCACTGCTAAACAACTCTTATTTTCTGGTGGATATCATTTGAACATCTCTTACAACAGTGGTTCTCAACCTTCCTAATGCCACGACCCCTTAATACAGTTCCTCGTGTTGTGTTGACCCCCAGCCATAAAATTATTTTCGTTGTTACTTCATAACTGTAATTTTGCTACTGTTATGAATCGTAATGTAAATATCAGATACCCAGGATGTATTATCATTTACTGGACAAAATTCGGCACAAACACCCAATACGCCCAAATTGGAATATTTATTTATATTTATTTATTTTATTTATTTACCTTACTTATATACCGCTGTTCTCAGCCCGAAGGCGACTCACAGCAGTTCACAACAAATAAAAAAGAGCAAGAATTCAATGCTACAGTATAAAAGCAATTAACAACCTACACATTACACAATTAATAAACAATTACTACAATACCCATTCACTGTCGTCTCGTCATCAAAAACATGTTCCAGATTCGTCATCCATTGTTCCATTCCAGTGTTCATTAACCAATCATTGCACTAATTATTAGAACGCCTGCTCAAACAGCCAGGTCTTCACTTTTTTGCGGGATACCATTAGAGATGGTGCTAGTCTAATGTCCGTAGGAAGGGCGTTCCACAGCCGAGGAGCCACCACTGAGAAGGCCCTATCTCTCGTCGCCAGCTGTGCTGCCGCTCCCCGAAATTTGTCTGTGACCCAATGGCCGGTGCTTGTGAAGCATGGCGGGATCGGAGAGGTCAAGTGTGGGGGTCGCAAGTTCACCGTCCTCCCTCCGCACAAATCGATACGCCCAAATCTGAATACTGGTGGGGTTGGGGAGGGGGTTGATTTTGTCATTTGGGAGTTGTAGTTGCTGGGATTTATAGTTTCACCTACAATCAAAGAGTTCTGAACTCCACCAATGATGGAATCAAACCAAACTTGGCACACAGAAGTCCCGTGACCAACAGAAAATACTGGAAGGGTTTGGTGGGCATTGACCTTGAGTTTTGGAGTTGTAGTTCACCTACATCCAGAGAGCACTGGACTCAAACAATGACAGATCAGGACCAAACTTGGCATGAATACTCAATATGCCCAAATGTGAACACTGATGGAGTTTGGGGAAGATAGATCTTGACATTTGAGTTGTAGCTGCTGGGATTTATAGTTCACCTACAATCAAAGAGCATTCTGAACCTCACCAATGACAGAATGATGCCTCTCCTTATTATATTTGTCTACTCACTTTTAGAAGTTGCCCATGCATTCTTTGCAGGGCAAAAAAAATCTCCATTTGATAATTTCTCCATACCAATCTCTCTCCATACTTATTTCTTATGTTTTCCCCCACTAAGCACATATAGACATTTACCTAACTGATTAGTGAATGTAAGAAAGATATTAATTTTGTTAGCAAAAATTATTTCTTGTAAAGAGGAGCTGCATATATTGTGCAATAGGTTGTGTGTGTTAGAAGTATGTATGCTTTTTTTTCGGAAAGAAGTTGTCTTTAAGTAATTCTAGCTTTTCGGTTTTGGTGTTAACTCTACCAATGAAAGCAAGGCTTTTAACTACTAATGTATGGAATATGTGTTTATTTTTTCAGGGTCCAAGTTAGGAATATGGCAACTTTGAAAGACAGTAAGTAATTCTTTCTGTGTACTTTTCTGTGCTGGCAAATAGGGTAATATCCTTTAGTGAATTCTGAAACCTTGACTTCTAAATTCATGTTCAGGGCCATGTTTGTTTTGGTATCATAACCTGGAAAGAAAAGAGTCCTTTGATCTGCATAAAGTTGCACATTTGGCATGGCATTTTCCTTGTTTTACATAGGATTCAGGATTCATTATATTTTGTTTACACATTTCAGTTCCAATCATATAGTGTCTTGAAGGATGCCTCAGAGTTACAAGCTAGAAGAAATATTTTTCTTTCAAATGGGACATGTCCCCACAAGCTACTTCGCAAATCTTGCTAAGAAAAATCGTGAAGGGTCTCACTAAGTCTGACATAATTTGAAGGCATATTACTGTACTTATTTTTCTTGACAAATTAGTGTTTGATATCTTTGTTCTCATCATACTGTTCTCCCCCCTCCCCCCCCCCCCCCCCCATTTTTGCTTAAAATTTTTCCTCATCTCATTTGTGTAGTTACCCGGCGCCTGAAGTCAATCAAGAACATTCAGAAAATCACCAAGTCCATGAAGATGGTTTCAGCAGCAAAGTATGCCAGAGCAGAAAGGGAGTTAAAGCCTGCCAGAGTTTATGGTGTCGGAGCTTTGGGTAAGGGAACTTCCTGTTTTCTAACTGAGTTGCAATAAAAAATACTTTAATTCTCTGTGAAGATATTGAATAGAAAGACAAAATAAACTAGTATTTCCTGACCTAGAAATGTCTGATAAAGTACTTTGACCAGGCTTTCGACAGTTTTTAAAACATGTATTCAGTAAGGATCATTAAACGTTACACCGGTTCTTAAGAGCTCATTTTCTGATAATGTTTAATAGTGAGATAATAGTGAGTGCATTTTTAAATGTACCACTACTACTTCTAATAATAATAATGATGATGTTGATGATAATAATTGTATTTCTTACCAGCCTCTCCTCATTACTATTTTAAGAAATCAGATAAGATATAATAGTTGCTTCATCTTATTACTAGAAAGACTAGGACTTCACTTGCTTTAGAGATTTCACTGGCTTTTATTAATTACTTCTTTCTTTATGATAGTAGATACTGGAAATATTGAAGTATGTTTTTTAAAAAAAATTACAATGAAATTATCAAGGTGTATTCTATGCATATATCTGGGCTTGGACAGAAAGCATGCCATATTTATTATTATTATTATTATTATTATTATTATTATTATTATTTGCAGCTTTTATATTCTGTCCTCTCACCCCGCAGGGGACTCAGGGCGGATTACAGTGTACACATATATGGCAAACATTCAATGCCAATTTTGACATACAACATATACAGACATAGACAGAGGCTATTTAACTTTTTCTGGCCGCCAGGGGAGCTGTCGCTTTCATCGTCCATCTGCGACACTGATGAAGTACTTCCGCATTCCCCGCATGCTTTTTGCTGGAGTGCTGGAGTCTTTTTTATGGCCTCATAAATTAGTTAATTTAGCCTCCCCACACTTTAAGGTGGTACCTAATTTTCCTACTTGACAGATGCAACTGTCTTTCGGGTTGCAAAGGTCGACAACAGGCTACACAATTGGTTGGAAACCCACTCCAACCCGGGCTGGCTTCGAACTCATGAACTTTTGGTCAGAGTGATCTTAATGCAGCTGACACTCAGCCAGCTGCGCCACAATCACAGTGCTGCCAGCCATAGTCTTTGGCTGGTACTCTGTTAGTGCTATATGCCAGTATAACACTAGTATATAGCTTTTTTATGATGATGGAGGGAGGAGTTCACCCTTGAACCTCTGTAACTCATCTGCCTCCCATAGCCCCTCTGAAAGTATGGCCATATAGTGGCTGAGGAGGCTGAGAGCATTTGACTATGTACCTGTAGCTAGATGCACGACAGCAACAACATCCTCCTAGAACAGGCATGGGTAAACTTCGGCCACCCAGGTGTTTTGGACTCCAGCTCCCACAATTCCTAACACCCTACTGGTTTGCTCATGCCTGTCATAAAATTGTAGAGTTCAACCCCATTCTGCCAAGAAGCAGCCTTGTAGAGGCTCTGAAAAATAACTTGGTTGTGCATTCAGCTATATGGAACAGATGCATTTGTTTTTCTTTCTTTTCTTAGCTCTCTATGACAAAGCAGAAATCAAGGCCGCTGAAGACAAAAAGAAGTACCTTATCATTGGGGTTTCCTCCGACCGTGGTCTGTGCGGTGCTATCCACTCTTCTGTTGCTAAGAGTATCAAGGCTCATATTGCCAACCTCACGGATGCGGGTAAAGAAGTCATGGTGGTTGGAGTAGGTGATAAGCTGAGAACTCTCCTTCACAGGTAACAGGATACTGCCCTGTCCTGTATATCCAACATTTACTCTTCAGTACTGACCATTGATCATTTTTTTATTAGATCCCAGACTGAAGACATCACTTTAACATGTAAAGCAGTGATACTCACTGAAGGCCACTGAGAGCAAACCTACAAGCAGCATATATTTGAATCACTGCATGCCTAGAATGCTTCTTAACAATGAATTTTTATTTATTTACTATATTTATATCCTGTCTTTCTTGACCCCAAGGGGGACTCAAGGCAGCCTTAAAAACAATATACATCCAATATACAATTAAATAAACATTTCAATTAAATTTTTAAACAAGATTAAGAGCATTAAAACATACAAAACATTGCAATTATAACTATAAAACCACATTATCCGCAATCATAGTCAGGCCATTTTTAATACTGTTTATATTTAATTCTGTTTCACTGTTTATATATTTGTATATTTTAAATTGTGTACTAATTCTTTTATGTTAAGCCACTTTGAGTCACCTTCGGGAGAGATAAAACGGGGTATAAATAAATATAAATATAGTAATAGAACAATGGAAATAGGGCCCCTGGAGGTGCAGCGGGTTAAACCGCTAAGCTGCAGAAATTGCTGACTGGAAGGTTGGCAGTTCAATTTAGGGGATCAGGGTGAGTTCCGGCTGTTAAGCCCAGCTACTTCTAACCTAGCAGTTTGAAAACATGCAAATGTGAGTAGATCAATAGGTACTGCTTCTGTGGGAAGGTAACGGTGCTCCATGCAGTCATGCCAGCCACATGACCTTGGAGGTGTCTACGGACAACGCTAGCTCTTCGGCTTAGAAATTAGATAAGATGTTTTTCTGTATTTTGAATCTGTCTTGTGCCACTTTTCTTCAAAGATTATAAATGAAACAGACCATTACCGCTATTATAATATGGGGCAAAGAAAGACATTTGAAGCTAGAATTTATCTCAGGAGGAGAGCTTCATCTTCTCAATTAGAGGCATTTAGCCTTTTGGCCCAGATATCTCTGGACAATTCCCAGAAGCAGACTCATGCAGAGAGCGTAGAAATAAAATAAGAAAAATGTGTTGTTTTGATCAACGTTCTTCATTTACTGATTTACTTTTTATTTTAGGACGCATGGCAAAAACTTCCTGTTCACCTTTAAAGAACTTGGAAGAAAGCCTCCCACCTTTGGAGATGCATCAATAATTGCCTTAGAGCTGCTGAATTCTGGCTATGAGTTTGATGAAGGATCTGTCATCTATAATCGGTTCAGGCAAGAGAAATAGGAATTTTGTGCAATTTTCTTTCAAATATTTCTCTCCTTGGCATTCACTCCAACATTCCTCCCCTCCCCTTTCCTCTCCTATATACATAGTGGATGCATTCTGGGGCTTTGTGTGAATATGCAAAACCACAGCTAACAGCTGGCTCAAGAATACCATAGCACCATGCTGGAAGAGCTAGAAATGATTGCAGAAGACCTATATTGCCACATGCTGTGGATACAAGTCCTGCAGATATGGGGCCCATATAGTATATCACAAGTCAGCTTTCTTCTTTCCATAGGTCTGTCATTTCCTACAGGACAGATGAGAAGCCAATCTATTCTCTTGACACCGTTTCTGGTTCTGGTAAGTCCAGATGAAGCCTTTGGCAAGTTGGCAGTGTTTTCCCCCCTCCCTAGTTGTTAGAAACTCATCAGGGTCAAGCCTTTCCAAAGCACTTTGTGTGCTTATGTGTGTGTGTGTGTGTGAGTATAAATGTTTTATTGTTCTGTGTGATTTATTTGCTCATTTGTTGTAATTGTTTTATAGTTTAATGGGATACATTTTTATTGTTATGTTTATATGCGGCATTGAATGGGTTTGTAATCCACCTTGAGTCCCCTATGGGGTGAGACAGGCAGGGTATATATGAAGTAAATAAATTCATAAAATATACAAGGGAGAAAGGAGGAAAGGAAGGGATGGAACAATTTGCAGAACATCTATTTAGATCATAGACATTTAGCTGAACAAGTGCAGTGGTGCAAAGGACTCTTAAAGGCTTTCTTAAATGCCAGGAATTAAGATCCCAAGTTAATTTTAATTGAATGCTTCCACACTTATGAGGCCACCACTGAGAAAGTTCGAAGCTGGGTCAGGGCGAGCTCCTGTCCTTCAGTTCAGCTTCCCACCCACCTAGCAGATTGAGAATAGCAATGTGAGTAGATAAATAGGAACCACATTAAAGCAGGGAGGTATTTTAGGCATGAAACCGAGCACTGTCTCCAAAGATGCCAGAAAGATTGGGAAGAGCCTATATCGTACTTCTATCTGTTGTCTGTCTTGTCATTGTATAATTGACATTGAATGTTGCTGTATTAGTGTTCTGTGATCCACCCTGAGTCCACTTTGGGGTGAGAAGGGCAGAAGACAAATACTGCAAACAAACAAACAAATAAATAAATAGGTTTATGTGATTGTGATCTTAGCTTGTATCAATAGAATCACTACAACAGGATTTCTAAAAATTTCAGCAATCTGGTCCCAAAACAATTAAAAGCTTAAGGGTGGGCACTATAATTTTGAATTAATTTTGGTAATGTATTGGTACTGATTGGCAACTGCTTTAAATGCAGTGTGGCATGATTGAATCAACTCTCCAATTTCGCTGCATTTTGTGCAAATTGAAGTTTCAGAACCACATTTTCAAGTAGGGAAGGTTCAAACTAATGCTGTAGAAATGCTGTAATCTTTGTGACCATAGAAGTGTATAAGCTGAAAGTCTGTTGGTGTCCTATTATTTAGGAATGAAAAATAATTGGAAATGTCTTTGAAACTGTGCTTGCATTTGACTTCTAACATCCTGTACCTGATACATTCCAAAATTGTAATACATTTCCGTTGTTCATTCTTGCTTTTGTTTCTGCAGAAAGCATTAGTATCTATGATGACATTGATGCAGATGTCCTGCGAAACTATCAGGAATTCACATTGGCAAACATCATTTTCTATTCACTGAAGGAATCTACCACAAGCGAACAAAGCGCTCGGATGACTGCCATGGACAATGCAAGCAAAAATGCCTGTAAGGAGAAATCCATGGGGTTTGCACCATGCTGTGTTGTGTGTTAGCAGAATCTTCCAACTGTAAACAAAAGCAAGAAAGCAGAATTCCATATTTGAGAGAGTTTTATCTTTTGACATATGACCATGTCATCTTGAAAGTTTGAATATTGATTTCACAAATGTCACCTGCCACCCACTGTCCTCTATATCTATCGATACAAAATGTGTTACTCAGAATGGAATGGGATGGGAAATGCCTATGAAAGATGTCAGATCTTCACATCTGTAGATTGAACTTTTGCAGATTTGATTATTTGTGGATTTGAGTTATATTTTATCTCCAGCAATCTTGTTAAGTTCTCTGGTGAAACTTGATCATAGAGTTACCCTGAAGGACCCAGAGATTCTTAAAGTGGTGTTTTCTCAGGTTTAAAATTGTATTTCTTTATTTGTGGTTTTTCCACTTCTGTGATGGTTCTGTATATAGGATTGTTTGGTATCTACAGAAGAGTAGAGAGTAGCGTCGCCAGTGATACAAATGGGCTTATGGTAAAAAACAAGAGTGAAAAATAGACAGGATAATTTGGCAAGGTTAAAAAGATAAAAACACTTTTATTGTTGTTAGGAAAACAAGTGAAGTAAAAAAGTAGCAAGAGACAAGAAAATTATGTAACATTGGTAAAAGAGTCCTTAATGCTGACTCTTACGGTTGTGTGACTTGAGGCAGAAAGAAGCCTCATAATGCTTCCTCCTCAAACAAAGCTCTAAAACTGAGTTGCTGTGAGTTTTCCGGCCTGTCTGGCCATGTTCCAGAAGCATTCTCTCCTGACGTTTCACCCACATCTATGGAAGCGTAATCAGAGCTTGTGAGGTCTGTTGGAAACTAGGGCAAGTGAGGTTTACATATCTGTGGAATGTCCAGGGTGGGAGAAAGAACTCTTAAGTGTGAATGTTGCAATTGATCACCTTGATTAACATTTAATAGCCTTGCAGCTTCAATGCTTGGCTGCTTCCTGCCTGGGGGAATTATTTGTTGGGAGGTGATTTGCTGGCCCTGATTGTTTCCTGTCTGGAATTCCCCTGTTTTTTATTATTGCTCTTTATTTACTGTCCTGATTTAGCATTTATTTAATACTAGTAGCCAGATTTTGTTCATTTCCACGGTTTCTTCTTTTCTGTTGAAAACATGCTTGTGGATTTCAATGGGAAGAAAAGAGAAGGAAGCAAACCATTTTGGGAAGAAAGGAGAAACAATCAAAATACCTTGAATTATATAGATCTTTTTATGTAAACAGGAGAAGCATAATTTGATCATATGCATGGAATAGTTCCAGCTTTTGAATGCTCTGGTTTTCAGGAAAAAATTAGTTAGTTGTATCCAAGTCCTTGATATTTTGTAAGGGTATTTATTTATTGTGTCAGGAGCGAACCAAAACAGTTGTATTGCATTAAAAACAAAAGAACAAAAAACAAAGTTTGCAGACTTGGTATTCTATTTGTAAGTGTAGACAGGGATGTTTAAATCAAATCAAAAGAGCAAGTAGAAATTATGAACATCTGATTTTTTCCCCCATGGTGCCACCTGACATGTTCCTTCTCTCTTGGCAGCTGAGATGATTGACAAGCTGACTCTGACCTTCAATCGCACCCGCCAAGCTGTCATCACCAAGGAACTGATTGAGATCATTTCTGGTGCTGCCGCTCTGTAAGTATTTGTGTGAGATTCTCCGGAGACAGACTGGGTTTTGTCTGCATGGTTTGATCGTAAAACAAAATAATAGTTGGGTTAAAAATTATGTGTCTGTGCTTTAAAAAGGCCAGTGACCACTGATGCATGGCACTCTGTGGGCACTCATAATTTCTAAATGTGCTGCTGTTGCAACTAATAAGCTGTATTGTTCTGGAGAGATGCTTTTGGCTGTGCCTTGTTCCAGATTTCTTTGTATATGCTTTTCTGGACTACACCTGACCAAATTGCATTAAAACTACTTATTGCTGAGACTTGGTAATGGAGGCAGGGAAGGAGCAAGAACCTTTCACTGAAACCCTTAATCTAATTCAGTACAGGCTGAACATCCGTTATCTGAAATCCAAAATATCAGAAGTTCCAAACTGTCAACCTGCATGCTGAGACAATGGTCTTTGCCGCCCAATATAATAATAATAATAATAATAACACTCTATTTATACCCCGCTACCATCTCCCCAAGGGACTCGGTGCGGCTTACATGAGGCCGAGCCCAAAATACAACAATACAAGCAATAACAATACAAGCAATTTAAAAACAACAAAACAATAACATAAGCATTATCAATAGGACAACACACTTTAAAATCTATGGGTAGGCCAAATGTAATTAAAATTAAAAGATTAAAAAATAATGCTGGACATGGGCGAAAAAGTGATGGGGCGGTTTGTGGGAACATATGAGCAGACCTAAAACAATATAAAGTGCTTTGGAGGACAAAGTGCTATGGGATCATTATTCTGGGAAGGCACACTGGAACAACCACGTCTTCAAGCTCCTCTTAAAGACTGCCAAAGTTGGGGCATGCCTGATGTCCTTAGGAAGTGAGTTCCAGAGTCGAGGGGCCACCACCGAAAAGGGAATATACAATAAAAATGTAATGTTTGTGGGATTAACATAACTCAAAAAACCACTGTACGAATTGACACCAAATTTGGACACAATACACCTATCAGGCCAACAAGTGACCATCACTCATAAAAACACTGAAAGACGCAGCAGAAGAGAATTAAAAAGCCAAAAAAAGCAAATAGACGCTACAGTGCATATGCAAAAATGACCCCCCCCCCAGCAAACAAAACACACAATAGCATATCCACACTCTCTTCTGGACTACAGCTCCCAGCATTCCCTAGACCAGGCCCTTTAGGAGAGGAGGATGATCCAAATGCAATGCTTCCAAGATGCAAGCTTTCTTCTCCTTGGATTTCTTTGAGAGCATCCCAATCCCTGCATATTTCCAGTTTCCTGGATTGCAACTCCCAGCAATCCTAGATAGATAGATAGATAGGATAGTAGTTCAGTACTTCGATAATGTAGGTAGGTAGATGATAGATAGATAGATAGATAGATAGGTAGATAGATAGATCAGGAGGACTGCTGGGGAGTTGCAGTCCAAGAATAGGTAGAGGAAAGGAGAAAGAGGAAGGGAAAGAACAGGGGGAGAGAAAGGAAGGGAAGAAGAAGAGAAGGGAGGGAGGGAGGGAGGGAGGGAGGGAGGAAGGAAGGGAGGAGAGAAAGAAAGAAAGAGGGAGGGAGGGAGGGAAGGAAGGAAAGGAAGAAAGAAAGAAGAGAAAGAGGGAGGGAAGGTTGACCATAGCAACATGTGGTGGTTACAGCTAGTATTGTATAATTATTGTATAATTACTTTTAAGCTATGCGTAAAAGCTGGATATGAAATGTAAATACATTTTGTGCTTAGACTTGGGTCACGAGTGTAAGACATCTCATAACATACTTACATGCAACTACAGGTATAACAAAACACTGCTGGTCCAAGGATTTCAGATAATGGATGCTCAGCTTATAGTACTATAATAAGAGTAGCCATTCTACATCCCAAAAGAGCCGAAATAGCTTGAATTGCTGCTGCGCTCCAGTGATGCTTATTCTGAGATATATTGCTTCTGCACATTGACTGATACCCATTTTTAGCTAATATCTTTCGGAATACCTTGGAGCAATGCATACTACACATTGCTTTTTCACTGCTTGACTGACATGGTCTCAGAAAAAAATGTCAGACTACAGTTTAATTTTGGGTCATACTCTCCACAAAAACAAAAGCATGTCTTCAATATATGTCTGAAATATGATTTAAGCTGGAGTAAAAATTTAATATTGCAAAGAATGGTTGCGCTTTTAATCAACCCATTAATCAATACATGTCATCTGCTGGTTTGATGTTGTTATTTAATTTTGATTGGACTGGTTCCAATTTGTATTTTTGCTCTGCATCACATGCTTGGTTAAATCACACCAATGAACTTGGCTTAATTTACGTTGCTTTTGCTTCACTGCATGTTTTCTTCTTTTTGTTTTTAACAATCTTACAACTAGGAACTAAGGGCTAATCAGAAAGTGAGTTTCAAGCAAAGTCCAACAGGTAAAGTGGTGTATACTAAATCTTTAGTGGTGGAAAAAAATAGAAAATAAGGCAGTGTTTCTCAACCTGGGGGTTGCGAGGGGGTATCGGTGGTCGCCAAAGAGCACCAGAAAACACAGCATTTTCTGTCAGTCATGGGGGCTCTGTGTGGAAAATTTGGCCCAATTCTTTTGTTGGTGAGGTTTAGAATGCTCTTTAACTGTAGGTCAATGATAAATCCCAGCAACTACAACTCCCAAATTTTCCCCAAACTCCACCTGTGTTCACTTTTGGGCATATTGAGTACTTGTGCCAAGTTTGGTCCAGATCCATCATTGTTTGAGTCCACAGCGCTCTCTGAATAGAGGTGAACTACAGCTCCAAAATCAAGATCAATGCCCACCAAACCCAATATTTTCTGTTGGTCATGGGAGTTCTGTGTGCCAAGTTTGGTTCAATTCCATCATTGGTGGAGTTCAGAATGCTCTTTGATTGTAAGTGAACTATAAATCCCAGCAACTACAACTCCCAAATGACAAAATCAACCCCAATCCCAAATCACAATCCACCCCCAATCCCACCAGTATTCAAATTTGGACGTATTGGGTTTTTGTGCCAGATTTGGTCCAGTGAATGAAAATACATCCTGCATATCAGATATTTACATAACGATTCATAACAGTAGCAAAATTGCAGTTATGTATCAATGAAAATAATGTTATAGTTGGGGGTCACCACAACATTAGGAACTGTCGCGGCATTAGGAAGGTTTAGAAACACTGAAATAAGCTGTCAGAAATTTAGTGACACATGATGTATTTGTTTTTGTTCACAAAGGGATTTTTAGGAATGGCCCGTTTTGCATGAATCTTACACTTCGTAATTTTGTTTTAGTAGCATCTATATAATAGTAGGCAAGTAAATTGCGCTCTTCTAGAAAACTCAGCCACACAGGAATTGAATAGTGCCTTCTATTTATTTTTTATCTACCTTTAAGGGATATATTCGTATTAAAGCTGCTAAAAGGAATATTAATTAATTAAAAGGAATATTAATTAATTAGTAAAAGTATTAAAGTGTTAATTTAGGAATCAGAGGTGGTATTCCAAGGTGGTCAGCACTTTCAGGAGTAAAAAAAAAGTGGTAAAATGATGTGATAGCCATGTTCAGCTTTTCCTTACTGTACTTTTTTTGTTTTTAGGTAAAGAGAAACTCTTCTGGCAGGTGGTTTGCCCCACTTCTAACCTAGAGAGGAGGAGGAGTCAACTCTTTGGCCCATAAGTCTGTGAAAAAAAATCAGAGAATACCAACTGTTTATAAAGTCTTTATTTCAATAAAATCCTACATGAAAGAGTTGGCATGCTTTTTTGGCTGTGTGACTGTGGAGGGAGCTGGACTGAAATGCAAGTTAACAACAGTGTCCTGGGCTTTGAGACTGTATTAGTGTCTCTATAAAAAGATATTGGGAAATGCTGTTGCAGTTTGGCACATTGAAAAGAAATTTGTGTGCAATGCAGCAGAAAAGGTTTTTTTTCTTCTGTTTCTGGTGAAACAAATGGGAGCTGGGCAAAAATCACATAGCACAACACACCTCTCCATTTAATTATGTAAATACGTATGGAGGGTATTTGGAAATACTGTAATTATTATTTTTTAAATACAGGACAATTCCCATATCTCTGGTACCAGTATCCATGGTTTCACTTTTCTATGTCTGAAAAAAATAGGTTTTATAGACCTTCCAGCCCAATTCTATGAATATGCTTCTGTCAGAAGTTG